AGAGGATTCTGATTGTGGTTTATGCATTTGTTCTGTGCTTTTGCAGTTTCTCACCCAGAAATGTGAAAGGATATAAGAAAGATCAATGGTTTTCACACTTATTGATCAAGAGTATTTTATTTTACAACAGAGCACCTATAACACAGTATGCTACTAACACGTTTATCCAGAGTTATGCCAACAAATCTTCTCTTTATCACAGGCTCATGCGGCCAGACGACGCAAACATCGTGGGCAACGTCCACGGCGGCATCATCCTCAAGATGATCGAGGAAGCTGGGGGCATTGTCAGCACGCGACACTGCAACACACAGAGCGGGGTGAGAGGTCACAAGTTTCAAACTTACACACAAATATTTTATTGTGCCATTGGCAGTTAAATGTGCTCAGCGTAAACTAAATGTGCCCCTTGAAAAAAATGAGCATGAATGCAGTGAAGAAAGTGACTGTGATGGCTTTCAGAGATTTAGAGCTAAAAGGCTTTTAGAAAATAAAATGCGTATAATTTTTGTTCAACATTAAAACTACATTAAAACATTACTGTTTATACTGAGTATTGCTTTCCACAGGTTGGTTTTCTCATTGTCCTGGTTTTACTTTTCACCAAGTGAAAACTTTTTCACTTTAGAGAATCCAAGGGAAAGCTGCCATTGAGAGAAATGATTAATATCTTTCATAACCCCCCTCAGCCTTTGCCATACACTGTCTGGCCCTGATTTAATTACCTTTCTGCCTGACATTAAACATCCCTCAGTTACAGGGATCATTAATCTCAGTAGGACTAGACAGGTTAGATATATGTTCAAGGGCCAGTTAAGTTTAGATTATTTCAATTCACATCATTAAACCAAGAGTGGCCTGACATGAATTCTTTCATTCCCTAGCTCATTTTCTTTTGGATCAAATGTGCCAGATGCTTGGTAATGCTGTTGATTGTCATTGTCATCAGTAAAGGGTTTTTTTTTTACTTAATGGCATCTTAAAAACTCAACTCTTCTCCTCTCAGGACCGTTGTTTGGCGGCTCTGGTTCGGGTGGAGAAGACAGAGTTCCTGTGCCCCATGTTCATCGGCGAGGTCGCCCATGTCTCCGCAGAGATCACGTACACCTCCAAGCACTCACTGGAGGTGCAGGTCAACGTCATGGCTGAGAACATCCTCACAGGTGACTCTGATACATCTAGTTTAAGCATTCCTCTAACTGTTTGATAATATATGTAGATGAGTCATGGATTAAAATTCCAACTAAATGCCCAGCAGACATATTGACTCATCGCAGCAGACAAAGCATGGCTGTTTCTAATAACACGGACAATGGCTCTGTTCGACTCAAGTTTTCCAGTAAGTCATGATAATGTGGCAATGAGCCAGCATGTACAATGAGGGCCCTGAAACTGGAGCAGGTAAATGGAATTCAGCAATAATTCATTACATAATGTGAACATGGGAATGTATAGTAGATACATTTTTAACTGATCACATGACCTACTAGCATACTGTCATTTGTTTGTGCTTCTGGTCAGTTTTAAATAACAAACCAAATGTCATATCCAAATGCATTACACTTAGCACCAGGTCTGGTGAGGTCAGGAGTGAAAAGAATGACCTCATTGTGATGGTCTCCAGTTTGACCAGTAGAGGGCAGCACACAATAAGTAATACATCTCTCAGAAGCATCACAGATGATACACTGAAGTGTTGTATTAAGCAGAGAGAGGGATAGAAACTGAGTCATGTTGGCTTCCGGTTTCAGAATCTGTGCAAAGTGATGAAGTCTTTAAGTCTTGTTTATTATTAAGATGTAAGCAAATTTAATGTGCTCTATGTATACACAAAATGTGCACATACATGCAGACAGGTGACAAATAAAGGAAACACCTGAATAAATGAATAATCTCTTCCAGGATGACAGTGCCCCATTCATAGGGCATGAGGGGTCACTGAATGGTTTGATGAGAATGAAAATGATGCAAATCATATGCTATGGCCTTCACAGTCACCATCTCAACCCAGTTGAACACCACCATCAAAACACCAAATGAGGGAATTTCTTTTGGAAGAATAATGTTCATATTTGCAGTAGAGCTCAGACCCTTATAGAATCAGAGCAATAAAGGTGTTCTGGCATATGATGGCCCAACACCTTAATAAGACATGTTGGCTTTTCCTTTACTTTGTCCCTAGTTTATATCCATACAGGCTTACACACACACACACACACACACACACAGAGTGCCCCTTGAGTAAAGATACAGAGAGGATCACATTGGGCTGACCTAGGGTTTATCTCTGAACCTCTGAATGCCACAGGCTTCCAGTGACTGAAACAACCAAATATCATGTGCTGACCCTGTTGTACCTACTCGAATAAAATCAATGTATAATCAAAATATGAGGTATAATGTCTACACCTACTAAGACATAGAAAGACACATGCACATCTTATGACATTAAAATGGTGGTTATAAATGAATTTCAGCAACATAACTGCTGTTTCTTGACTTGTAAAACAACAGGATTCGCCAGACTGTGTTTGTATTTTTAATAAATGTGTAGTTTGGAGGTTGTGTAGCATTAAAACAGCCTGCTCGTCTTCCATTTGATGTGATTAGAGTGACAAATAGAGAAAGAGATGAAATGAGAGGGGGAGAGAAAGCGAGTTAGACAGATGGGAGGAGAAAAACAGACAGCTAACAAAGGGCAAAAAAGAGACGAAACAGAATGAAAGTAGGGAAGAGGGAGACAGAGGAATGAAGTTAAAGACTGAGAAACAAAAGAAGTATCCCCTAGACAGCTGTTGCCCTAGCAACAGGCTTGTACTGGTTGGTTGGCTGGTTGCTGGGCTAGAAGCACATTGACGGAGGAGGAGGCAGAGATATGAGATGACAGGTGGAGGGCAGCGTACCTACTGTACATACAGGCATTGGCATGGGCTACCCGCTACAGTACATGGCCCGTCAGGAAGGACCCCGAAGAGAAGACATCAGGAAGAGAACTAATGAACAGAATATAGGCTCTATGTTATTCAGTGTAGCAATAACATTTCTAATATAAGAAAGTTTTTTTTTTTATCCAGAGTTTGTTCCTGTTCTTTGTATTTACTATATTTCTATGCTGGGCAAAATGATGTTGAAACAAAATAGAGTATGGAAACTCTGTGTCTAGCATATATACTGTATTTTGATATACTTTGCTACAAATATCAGATATTTGCACCTTTTAGAAGCAGATTTAAGCTTTTAAAAAAAAATAACTTTCATTCTTTTTTGCATTCGTATCAACAAGAGAAAAAGATGTGGGTCACTTGATAACAGTATCAGAATACTGTATATGAATGAATGACACTTTATTATAGACTCAAGGTCCAAGTTCAAGGTGAAGTTTAGTGTTTTCACTTTGCACCTTGCATTTAGATGCATTTTTGCAGATGCGTGCTTGTGCTGTGTATGTGTTACACAGTACTGTATGAATAAGCGCAGAGGGTGTGCACCTCTACTGTATGCATGTGTGTGGATGGGTACTTGTGTGTGTGTTTTCATCAGTGTTTGGCCCTTTAAAAGGTTCCTGCGGGGCTGAAGGGGAAGAGAAGATAACGGGAGCAGACATTATTTGCTTCTGTCATGTTGGCTTAGTGTCAGGCCTCACACACTGTGGCTCAGTCAGACACAGGCGCCAAGTGAATGTACCTGCACACATGCTCCGACACGACGCACGCGCCTACTAAACACACACAGACGCACGCGCATGTGGAGGGACAACCTGTGTACATATAGTGCCTGATCTGCACATGCTGACACACTCACCATAGAAAAAGTCACACACCTACACGTCCTCACACTAACACAGATGCACAGTGAACACACACACACACACACACACACACACACACACACACACACACACACACACACAGCCACTTCCCTCATACTGAGGCAGGACTGGCAGGGATTTACGTTTTCTTCACTAAGTCTTTGCCTAGGTAAAAGATTGCTGGATGGCTTGGACAGGAACAGAGAAGACAGAACATTACTGTTTGGTCACTTGTTTCTCCAGTTTGTGTTTGTTTTTATGCTGTGTTTATGTACATTGGAGGGTCTGTATTCGTGTAGCCATGCATTTTGTTGCAGCTCTGTGTACAGGCACTTTGTATACTGCGACAGAATGCATACTCTATGTGCATCTTTTTTTGTATTTATACATCCATGGTTATTTCATGTGTGTAGGCCTGTGTGTGTGTGTGTTGGGGGAAGAGGCAAACATTCAGGTTCTACAGCCAGTCAGGCAGCATCTCTTCATGCAGGCCTACCCCCCAGGGGAAGACCGCCTACTGTGGGCACGAGCCATGATGATTGTCTCTGCTGGGGGGATTGCACATGCGCACTAATGTACTACTTAATGCACTCACATGTGGACCCACACACACAGCGGCGTACATGGATTTGTACAAACATACAAGAAAATACACATACGTTTCCAGAAAACAGCACACAGTCACATTAGTACACACACTTGGATCCAAGATGAGACACACAGATGCACATAGGCGCACACACATGGTTGTACTTCTGGCTTTGTCAGAACATTCTTTGGCATAATGCGTTGCCTAGTCCTTTACTGTGAACATCACAGCAAAATGACACCATGAACAGTCCTACACATGCACACACAAACAGGCTCCAAGATCATCAGACACAAGGACACTGAATATTCATGTTTGATTACAAATGTGTTTATGCAGAGCCACAAATTCTCATAGAGGCAATTGAATAAGTCATAACACATGCTTATGTCACATGCACACTCAGGCACTCATTTGCATAAATACAACATACACAGATTGTGCCCCTTCGACACACACATGCACATGCATAAACAGAACACAATGTAGATTGTGGCTTAAAATAAGCATGGCAGTTGTTGCCATGATCCCAGTAGGTCACACTACTGCACACACAGAGTGCTGAGTGGACATTTGTAATAATTAAAACATTTAATTTATGGTATTTAAGTCACGTTTCAGGCTTATATTAAGGTTTGCTGCTTATTGCACACAATTATTTATGCTTTTCTTTATTATTCAGTTTTTCAGTCTTTAACACCCAGTGCAGGAAAATTGAGATCTGTGATTTATATGATACATAAAATTTTCTGAAGACATACCTCAGATCTGTAACAGGACTTACAACACCAAGGGTCATTTAAGAAAATTACTGAATGTTTATGTGGAATCACTGCAATGTGTCAACTGTGGGGTAGTTTTTGTCCTCACAGTTGGATCTCCCAGTTCTGGATTTTGCTTGAGAAGAGAGGCGGTATTCAATAGTGAGTCTTGTAGACCTAAAATACATCATAATGTTTAAACCGAGTACTGTATGTTCCTTTTCAATCAATAGGCTCTGTCCCCAACTCCTGGTATGACTATCTGTTCCCGTTAGGCTGTATCATCTCACTGTGGGACTGTAGTGTGGCTAAAACTAATGGAGCCTTGGCTCAGCACAATGGAAAATCTGTGGTTTCGATCATGGGGATCAGACATTAAGAAAGGTTCTCGACTATACTGCCTCTCACCCTGGAACATGTTGTTCATGAAGGAGAAAGGAAAACAGGGTTTTTTCTGCTTGGAGAAGGAATGAAGGTTAGTGGCTAAGGGGGAAGCAGAGCGGTGAACAAGTCAAAGACAGAAATAAATCAAGTGAAATGGTGAGAGTGACATGGATGGGAAGAGGCAGGGCAAAAGAAAGGAGCAACAAAATTAGAGATCAGAGATAGTGCAAACTGTGATTTGAGACTGCTCAAAGTCTTTGAGAACTGAAAATGTGTATTTAGGAAAATTTAAGAAGGTAATAAGTCATGATTGTTGGCTTAAACTTTGATGGAGATTGGATGATACATAAGCAGTACTGGGAGACATTTAATCTACTTTAGCACACATGTGACTAGTCAAACCACTACCCCCGAGATGCTAATTTATAATGAAACATGACAGAGCAGTGTGTTTGGAAAATGAGCTGCCTATCATAAAGCTTAAAAAAGCACCTTCTCCCTGAGTGTAACCCTGTTTAGAGACAACAGCTGGTGGTGTTTGTTTTGTAGGTCATTCCTCATTTACTGGATTTTTGTCCTGTAATTAGCTGTAAGTTGAGAGTTTGAGGGTAAAGACAGTGATACTGAAATAAATTCGATTTGTTTTAGCTGCTCCAGCCAGCAGACTGCCAGACTCTGTGCGGCTGTGCTTTCATTGTTGCTGTGCTTACATCAGTATGTTTTATATAGGTGCTCTCTCTTTGCTGATACTATACTCCTGTAAAATTAGCCAGGTGATGCTGGTTGGATTATTTGCTGTGTGATACCCTAATGTTCTTGCACGCTTATCCGCTTAGTGCACTGCTACATATCCATCACACAGTCTTGTTCCACCAATACACCATCAATTTATAAAACGTACCTGCCACTGCCAGGTGCCATTTGCCTCAGCTGTCATCATAGCTGCCAGAGTGCCCATTTACACTCACAGAACTGCTCATTCTAAAGCTGCCATCAGATGAAATTGGAAAAACCAAGCTCCGAAGTCATCTTGCTGTTAGTCAGTTTATTCAGCTTTCTGCCATAGAGTGTGGACATTTCAGTTTGTGAAGGTTTTGTTCAGTGTGGATGTCACCAAAATCTTCCTATTCACTAATTCATTAATTAACGCTAACTAGGTAAGCCAGCTGTCCCTCCTGCTAGCTAAGACCCCTTCCTTGTGACTGAATGGAGTGCTCTGCGCTTCTCGCATAAAAACCAACGCAAACCAGTTTCTCAGTATTGACCACATTTTCCTGACAATTTACAATGAAAATTAACATTGTACAACAAATTTAACTGAGGTAAACATTTTGCATGTCATAAGTTTTAAGGTGCGTGCTGTGAGTAGTCTTCCTCAAGTTTGTTTTTCTTATGCTTGATACTGCAAGCATAAGCTGTTTTAGTTGTAATAAGGGTGCAGTTGTGGCAGTGACATGCTCAAACATTGACAGTGTCTTCATCTGATGTAGAGGGATCTCGAGTTCGACGCCAGTCCCCTGCTTTGTTCTAGCCAGAAAGGTTTTCACTAAGATGGGGAATGGCACTCAGCTATCCGGTTCATTCCAGTGCTTCACCCTCCACTCTTTGTCCCTCTCTCACTCCTCCCTTTTTCTCCCTCCATCCTAAACACAGTTCACTTACAAGGTCCAGCAGCTGCTAATAATAGACTGGAGTCACCCAGTCTTAGTAGAGTCAAGGATATGTAAATATGCCTCCCTTTTTTCCTGGTTGCTGGCAAGGGCAGGAACCAGTGATAGGAGGTGGAGAGAAGTGCAGTCGGCATGGAAACGCAGCCTGCGCTGTGTGCACAGTTTTAACTAGGGTGTAAAATTCAAATGTTGTTCCCCAGGAGTAGCCTGCCATTTACTTCCGCAAAGTCTCGTCTGGGTTACAGCTGATTACGGTGCACACAGTAATGACAGTAATTTTCCATTAGCATTACAATTGTTTCACTTATGAGATGACCTATTTTTATGTTTATATTGGTGTGGCACATATTTATATAGCCATGGTAAAAAGAAAGTACACCCTCCTTCATTTCTATATTGTTCATCATTATTGTGTGGATTTCTATACACAAACAAACAAAAACCTTAGGTCACAACAAGAAAATACAACAGATTTCAATCTGTAGTCACCGTTTCCCAAAAGTAAACCAACATTCAGAAACCAGGCGGGAAAATAAAAGTACACCCTTCCTACTTCCACAATCATTAAGAGAGTAATCAGTAGCCAGGTGTTACTGTACTAATCAAATGCACAGTATTCGTCAGTCATTAAGAAACGTGACTACCTCTATCAAAACAGAACTTTCGGTAGTTTGGTGTTGTGGAGCACTGAGATGTGTGTCTACATCATGCCAAGAACAAAGGACATCAGCCATGAACTCAGAGAAGCAACTGTCGTGGCTCATCAGTCTGGGAAAGGGTATAAGGCCCTCTCCAAACAATTCGAGAGTCATTGTTCTACAGTGAGAAAGACTGGTTACGAATGGACAACCTTCAAGACACCTGTCAATCTTCTCAGGAGTGGGTGGCCCAGCAAATTCAGTTGAGTTCTGGTTATACATGTTACTTGGATTATACTGTGTACTTTTATTTTCCCCACCTAGTTTCTGAATGTTGGTTTACTTTTAAGAAACAGTGACCACATATTGAAATCTGAGGTTATTTTTCATTTACATCAGTTGGTGAGGTCCACACAATTGTTATTTAGCCCCTGATGAATTAAAAACCTGGGGGGACGTTTACTAAATCATCACAAGTCATCATCCAATGTGGAAAATATTGCAACACTGCAATTTTTTAATTTAGCAGGGTATTTACAAAGACCTATGATGTAAATGAGCACAGCCACATCTGTGTTAATCTGAATATGCTTCAGCTGGTAAGGATGTGCCTGCACTGCACACAGTTGGACCGAGAGGGACAATAGAAAAGAACGTGTTTACTGCCACTTAACTTTAATATGGTTCAAGACAACAACAAACACATTTTAGGGCTGCAGTCACGTAGCCTCCTGCCAGTCAAATCATCTTTATATTTCTTCAGCAGGTTGAAGCATGGTCTGATCTGAAAGCCTGTGCAAGTCCCCTCACATTCTCCTCTGGTGAGCGATGCAATTTACAAATAGCCTCTCCCTAGTCAAGCATGTCCTTAACTCTGAAGAACTCTCAGGTGATTAACAGCTGCAGTGTTGACAGCAGTGCTACAAATGTTACACCTGCTTTCCCCCATGGAAAACTTCAGCCACAGTTCCCTCTGTCGCAGCGGTGGTAAATCAGGCACTGAGGGTATTTGTATAAATCTTCATTCTCTCCTCCCTGATTTCACCTTAAAATACATATTGCTTGAGACCCAACACGCAAATTCCTGCGGTTGCACATTTCTTCTGTTTCTCCGCTGCAAACCACTGCCACTCCTTAGTAAATATGAACACAATTTCACTGTTTAGCGTCAAAAAATGAGCCACAAATCCTAAGTAAATATCCCCCACAGAGCTGAAGGAGGGTGTAGTTTCTTTTTACATGACTGTAGCTTTTATTATACAAGTACATTATAGTAAAACTATGGACAAAGCAAATTATAAACAGCTTTAACAGATTAATACAACTGTTCTTTAATTACAAAACATCAGTTAATACAAATATAAGCCTCATCTAATGAGAAAGAAACTCACTAAGGTCATTACATGTTGCAGCCACAAGTAAAAGCCTTTAACACTTGAACAGTGATTTCATTTCACCCTGCTGCCCCTGTGCTGTCTTTAATCCCTGCGTCTCCCTTCTGTACCATAACACAACCTCAAAATAGTCCTTCTCTCTGTTAGGGAATTAAGTGAAAAAGTGTGGGCAGACATTGCTATGACAACCTCTCCGCCTGATTGCTATGAGATGTGATTTTTATGAGTTTGCTTTCTGATCTTGTCTTCTGGTTCTTAACTTTAACTGCCTCCAGCTACCAAAATGTTACTGTATGGAAGTACAGAGAAGCATCAGGCCCCTATATTTATTTGCAATGATGCGCCGTTCTTCACTCAGTGATGGTGATTTTATTTAGGGATTCACAAGAGAAGCTAACGGATAACGTTTTAAAGTGACAGCATTCATTTTATTCATGCACAACACAAACAATTTCATATATGTTAATATCGATAAATGCACAAAAATTTAGACAGTACTTTAAATACATTAAAGTCTATACAATTAAAACATAAAACTAAATACTCCAATAATGAGCATAATTTACTGACCTTGGGACCGTTCCTATCGCTAATAGCTGGTGACTTTACCCTAAAGATTAGTTTACATCAGATGTAATTTGTCAAGATTTCAACTGTTATTCAGTAACAGTGTGTCAGTCCACACCATTAGTTTGTAATTATCAGCATTGTTATTAACAGCCACACATCTGTATATTTTGGTTTTTCATTCAGGACTGAATAAAATTTGTTGAAGAATAAGTGTCACAACATAAACATGGTAAATGGACTGTATTTACAGTATATAGCGCATTTTCATAGTGTGTTGCACTGGCCAAAGCGCGTTACAGGAGATCATACACCATTCACACACCGATGACAACAAGGCTGCCACACAACAGCGCTAGTCAAGCCACCGGGAGCAATTCGGGGTTCAGTGTCTTGCTCAGGGACACTTAGGCATGTGGGGGAGACCGGGAGTCGAACCACCAACTTGCTGCTGAGAAGACGACTTGCCCTACCTCGTGAGCCACAGCCACCCCCATAAACATGTGGCTAGAGAATTTAATGAGTGAGGTGCTGCTGTATTTCATCCATTGTATTCACAACATAAACACATTCAGGATTTAGGGATTATGCTGTATTTTGCTCTGAGTGAGTGAGTGACTTCAGTGAAGCTTGTGAGCCTGTGTTCTGAAAAGACACATCATTTTCTTTTTCATTTGTTTTCTGCTCCTTTGTTTGCAAAAGAAAAACCAATCTTCGGGCAGCACCAGTGGATTTGATAAAAATTGGTCTAGCTTTTATTGGGATGTTAATAAAAGCGTCTGTTTTGACAACAGCTATTTCAAAACAGTGCAGCTCATTTTTGTGTTATTTGAAAGATGTGTCAGAACTTGGTTGGTTTACAGTTAAAGAAAAATCTGATAAATACACATTAGGTGATTTGGTAGAAGAAAGCTTTAAATTTCTTTACTGGAATTCTTTCTCGGTACAAAAACTGAACCTTTTCTCTGTGGCTGCAGGTGCCAAAAAGCTGTCCAACAAGGCAGCGCTGTGGTACGTCCCCTGCTCTCTGCAAAACGTCGACAAAATCACGAAGGTGCCGCCAATTAAGGTACATCCATTCTGACCTTAATGGACCAAAATTTGATTCAGATTCACTCCGTCTGTGTGACTTTTCCTTTCCATAAATATAAGAAATATCATGACCAAAGTCAAGGAGGGGGAATCCATGAGAGAAGCCATCTGATCAGGATAAAATATTGACATTTACTAGTGTGAAAAGTTCATTTCACTTGTCTTGTTTGTCTTGAATGTCAATATGCTGAAATGTGTCTAGTTATTTTATATACAGCCATTGATTTTTTTAAACCAATTTTGACCTGGGGAATCCCACTGAGATTAGAAACCTCTTGTACTAGGGTGCTCTTGCAGGTATGCAGATAGGTGTTAGAGTGAAAGTATACACCTGTCCATATGCTTATAGTGAATATATTCTGTCTGTAGTATGCAAGTGAAGACCAAGAGGAGGAGGGCAGGAGGCGCTATGAGGCTCAGAAGATGGAGAGACTGGAGACAAAAGCAAAGATTGAAGAAGTGGTGCCAATGCCACCCAACCCAGGTAACATCCTGCTCTCAGGGTCCCAAGTCAAATAAAAAAATAGAATTTTGAAGTTACAGATATTTTGCTAACATAATGTTACTACAAAGATTTGCCTACCTAATGGTAAAAGCATCATAATGACCATAATGATTTTCAGTGGCACATAGCAAACAACTTGTACAACAGAAAAAAGAGCAACCTCTGTGTCCGTCTTCATCCCTTTTATATCCCGAAGCTCTCTCTGTCTTTGGAAAGCAGCACATAGTTATGCTTACACAGGTCTCTGACCTTCGGCTGCACCAATGTTGTGAATTCTCCAAACAAAAGCACATAAACTGAAAGGCCAGGTAGAGAAATGTGAGGAAAATTTAGCTGAATGTGACAAAATGGGTAATGACATAGAATCACTGACTGCACCTTTAAACGTGTCATTGTGGTTTAGCCTGCCAACACTGTACCACCACCGTGCAGGAATTGAAGTAGGTGTAGTTGTTGTAGTAACAGGTGGACATTCAGGTGCTTATAATACTGGACACCATGTTGTAGTATATAGCATAATGTGTGTCTCCTTCTAAGTGACCCCCCAACCTCCCATCCAAGAATGAGGGATTGTCTTTTGGAGGAGCAGTGCTCATCCCTCCAGTAGAGTTGTAGAATCGATGCCAAGGCACACCAGAGCACACACGTAGTGGCCCAGCACCCTAGTTTTTCCTTTCCTTTGACACCTGTCTGTATTAACATTGCCTTAAATTTGTAACCTTTAACTCTGGCTCTGGTAATTGTAAGTAAAGAATTCATTATGCTTTAAGAAATTAATTCAGTAATGTTTGTAACTTGTGCCTTCCACTATATGTTATACTTGTACAACTTCAACAAGAAAGAAACCAATTTTACTAAATTCAAAGGGGCCTGTTTGCTCTGTGTGTTCAACCATCATGACACTGTACTAAAATTATTAACTGCATCTCTAATTTTGTCATATTGGTTCAACCACAGAGGATCCACAGAAAGGTATGTTAACTTGCTCGGCAGGCTTCATGTCAGTGCACTACAGAGACTTACAGTGATGGGGAGAATATATGGAAGCATGTGGTTTTTGTCAGTGTTGGCTTGCTTTGGCAAAATACACAGTAACAAGTTTTTTGTTGCAAGAATGACTTTTTTTGCTTTTGCTTGCATTGCAGAGCAGTACACTGTTGGCTTTAGCCAGTCCAGCCTGATCCATTTGTTGGGTCCTTCTGACTGCACGCACAACTACGTTCATGGAGGTGAGTCCAGCCGCTTTGTTTTCATTTCATGTAACTAGCAAAAAAAACTTGATCACCGAGGAGCTAAAAACCCAGATATGTTTCTCATATGCTGGTTTATAAAACCAGAGCTGAAGGGCAGTGAATACAATGTTAGTGTTTCCTTGCTGGATATGAAATAAAAATTGTTTACCAACATGCCAGTAGCCAATAGTATCTCAGGGTTTTAAACAAGGAGAGAAGTGATTGTTATTAACTTGGAATATTCTATTTATACAGTCCAGTGAGGCATCCATGAAAACCTTTATGCCAGTTCTTCTCAATTAATCCAATGTTTATGCCAGTTCTTCTCAATTAATCCAACGTGCATGTCTACGCATGTCTGCATTTATTTGTTCATGGTAGGGATGCACAAAGAATTTAATGCTGAATTGAATCCAAAGTGAAGCACCTTTGAGAAAGACTTAAGACCAACTACTTGTGTTCTCCTAAGTGAATGAATGAGTTTATGAGTTCTGTAATGCCTCACAGTTTTGCGGAGTGTGAGTGTGAGGACTTGAGCTTGTCAGTGAGTGACTGTTCTATTGTGTGCATTGTTGTAGTAAACGGAAAAGTAAAACAAGAAATGGAAAATAGAATCTGCGCTGCAGTAAATTTACAGTGCTGCTGTTGTTTCTCCTTAGGACATTTTCTACATTGGATTTCATCCAGATTCCTAAATGAAGTGCTTATAAAGTACTTTAGAAAAAGCTCAAAGCCAAACAAAGATTAAAAGCAGAATTAACAATTTTATAATATGAGTGCATATCCAGATTTTAAGGTTTAGCCACCTGTAATTTAAAGCCTGGTTATCTTTTGACCCAAACAACATAAAAATGCAAACCCTCACTATAGAAACCATTCTGGCTGCATCTGTAACAAATCCAGCATTTTATCAGCACAGAACAGATGCTTTTTTATCAGTTGGTGATCAGGAGATTCTTGGCTCACGCTGCCATTTGTATTGAGGTCATCTATGTAAAGAGGCCATCGGGGAGCTAGTGAAGAAGAAAAACAGAAGAGAGATGTTGACTAAGAAAGAGAGGGAATGAAGGAGCCAGGACTTGAGGCTGGGAGGAGGAGGGAGCAGGGCAGGACACATAAGTGTCACATGTGTCATGGTTGCCTTTTTCATTAGGAGGGATCTGTCCAATTAAAATCAAATGTGGAACAAGCATGCAGGTCATTTAGAATACACACGCACACATCACTGCTCTCTCTCTCTGTGCATGCCATTGCTCATTAGGCAATGTTCTCTGCTGTTCGCTGCTGCTGCTTTCACTATTTAGTTTACTTAACAGAGTCAGGTCAGGCAGCTAGGGCTCTCTCTCTCTCTCTCTCTTTCTCTTTCTCTTACTGTGTATTACTGCCCTCTTTCTTCTCTCTGTACTCATGTTGGAGGAAAAGCACATTTATACATGACAGTTGAAAGTTTTCCATATACTGTGTGTTTTCCCTTTGTGGTGTGGAAAAGCGGCCTGCTAAGCAAGAGCCACTGCAGACATAAAGTACATGCACGCGTATATGAGCATTCAAGAACATACATATTGTACATGCTCATTTTGTAAAAACACAGCAGGTGTAATATGAACCTTGCAAACAATTTAGAATTTTCTCAAAAAAAGTACTTTTTTAAAATTAAATATTTTATCAAGGAACCCTGATGATGAGTGCAGAGGCAAAATGAGAAACAACATCCATCCAGCCAGAAATTCGACATGCATTTCATTGGAACCACTTTCAACCAAATAAACTATCCCTGTGATAATAATGAAATTTGTGTTAACAGAACATTTCTGGAATCACAAGTTGGCGCTCTCAAATGTACTGTAATTGTTAGCAGCACAATCAGTTCTTCTCATTCCAATATTGTACAGTGGCAGCGGGAGTTTACTGTAGGGACAGGTTCAGCTCAAACTGGTAACATGAAAGCACTGACTAGATATCACCAGGAATACGTGCTTGGAACTTGGGCTTGGTTCTGTAGTTCTGAAGTTTGTTGAGAGTGCATCACATGGAGTCAACAACTATCGATCAATTAAACATGCAGTGCTTGGCTGTAGGAAAGGATAAGAATCTGCAAACTGTTAAACGCTGGCACGTAAATAGGTATCTGAGATGTTGTGAGGTCGAGGCATGTGAGTGTACAATTCCATCCATCCATCCATCCATTTTCTTCCGCTTATCCGGGACCGGGTCGCGGGGGCAGCAGTCTAAGCAAAGATGCCCAGACTTCCCTCTCTCC